ATGGAAAGTGGGTGGCACTGATGGTGGACTTTGTGGGACCAACATGCGCAAAACTGTCTGAGAGTCATCAGACCCTAGACCAGAGGTGACCGGGCCTGACAGAGACCAGCAGTGTAGTCACTCCCTGGGGCTCCGCCCTGGGATGTCTGTTTTGGCAAAGCTGACACTGGACCTAAAAGGTGTAAGTGTGGCAGATGGGGGTCCATGCAGTCCGGGGTCACTCATATACTCCATCCTCTGGGAAAGAAGCCAGAAATATGATCTTGAAAAATGTGATCTCCTGTTAGAACTAGAATTAACAGAGGATGGGGCTTCTGTTTACAAAAATAATTTTGAAAAAAGATAGGAAGAAGCTACAAATTTCTGCTTATTTTTCTAATATCTACCATCAGGCCTACTTTTGTAGCTAAAGTTAAGCTCACTGCCCTCTCGCTCACACGGGCCTGATTCTGAAGCCTGGGGGCACTAAGCCATCCTGCAGCTCCGCTCGTTACGCCTTCGCTTTATTTCTGGCAGTAAAATGAATAAACGTTAAACAATGACACTTAATCCCCACAAATAAGAAGTAGGGCAAACCCCTCATCCTGTCTTAAGCCAGAGGGTTATCGGGTGATCATACACCTGAGAAGTGCATGTAACAAGACATCTCAGGCACAAAGTGCTTTCAGGTTAGCAGAGGTATAGACACAAAAAGAAGATTTAAGTTATTCAGATCAATTACTGCCTTCAATTTTTTTATATTATTTTGTTACTTATGCTAGACTTTTCTCTTTGTAATCTAGAATTTTTATTTTTAACATACCAAAAATAACTTCGGGGTAGTAACATTGCTGTCAAACAGTAACAGCTAGAAAATAAATTAAGGTAGCACCACTTTTTAGAGGAGTGGTAAAAAGAACCCTAGAAATTTTCAAAAAGATATTTATTAAAACATAAGGAACATTAAGATTTTCAAAGTTTTAAACTAGCAAATATCTGTGCAGAAAAAATGCTATATTATTTTTTAAAAATAAGCTAATAAACAGGCATGCACTTGGTATGATGAGAAACTAGTTAAATAACAGAAACAAGAAAATTTTAAAGTCAGAGACATTGCAGGAAGCACCGCCCGGGCAGTCTAAAGCCTGAAGAGCAAGTGGCAATGAAGCACAACAGAACCTAAAAATGCAACTAACAGCCTCTCGTAACGGAGCAAAGCTGGAGCCGGGCGGCTTCACAGAGCTTCTCAGGAGGGGCTGCCCCATTTCATAAGAATGCCAGTGACAGCTGGACAAGGTCAATATGATGTGAAGGGGACAAGAAGGGCTCAGTGGTCCCAGATGCTCATGACCCACCTGAAGCCTTCTCTTCGTTGCAGTTCAGAAGGTGTGGGTTTGCCTGATGCATCAAAAGAAGTTTCACGAGGTTCGTCTGAAACGTTAAAATCGGACAGGTTATGCTGGGCACTGAAGATTCGTCAGGAAATACTGGGGGATGCACATGCCAGCACAACCCACCACCCAAAAGTGTCTTACTCTCTCCACTTTCAGTGCTTTTTTTTTAATGACATTACAACTATCGCATCAATTTATGCATTCAAATAAAAAATTACCTATCAAATGAGGGCTGAATCGCTGAGGTTTTGAAAAGGCCCACGTAACACCTTTCAGGCTTATTTTAGGGCATCTTACGGGAGGAATTATACATTACAGTGTGTTCTGTTTTAATTTAACAATTCATAGAAGTGCTCATTTATTGTTACCGGCCACCGGGCAGAGCACTGTGGCCACCATGAACTCCAGGTCACACTGGAGAACTAGAGAAACTTCGTCTCAGGTTCAGGATGAAGCAACTTGATGAGAGATTAATATACCTTTAAATTTTTATTATAAAATGCATCCTACATACAAAGAGTGTATATAATGGATACATATCATTGAGAGAGCAAGTAATGAAATAAAGTCCAATGCACCCAAGTTTTTAAAATGTCATTCATAGTATTTTTGTGTCCCTCCTCCAAACTGTCCCTGTTTCTACTTCCCAGAGTTGGCCACCATCATGAATTTTGTGCTAAGCACTACTAATTTTCTTTGTAAGCTTAGACCTTACATATAGACGTAACCCTGATCAACAAATGTCTTGGTTTCTTCTGTTTGTGACATTTATAGAAATGAAATCCTTGCGCGTACATTCTTCTGTGCCTTGCTTTCATGAATTGACACTGAATTTCTGAGCATCCTCAGAGGTGATGGGTATAACCAAGGTTCATTCATTTGTTTGGCTGCACAGACTTGCTTTGTACAAGAATGTATCACAATTTATCCACCTCCTTCTCAGTGGGCACTCAAGCCACTTGAAGTTATTTGTTTATATTTACAAATGATGTTGCTATAAATATTTTAGTTTATATATCTTCATGTACACGTTCAAGAGGTTCTTCATGATGAAGGTACTTAGGGCAAACTGCTGACACAAAGGTCTGGTCATCGTTAAAGTGATTAGATAGCACCAATGTTTTTTTCAAGGAGCTCACATTTACATTCCAACCGCCCACCAGAGTTCCTGTTGTTCCACATTCTATTTGATAATTTTATTATTAAATATATACATTTTGCTAGATTCACATCCCTCCCAACACTTGCTATTGTCATTTAAAAAGAATATTCAGCTACTGTACTGGGAAAGAAGTAGTGTCTCAGTGCAGCTGAACCTGCCCTTCCCTGATCACTAATGACACTGGACACCTTCTCATGTGTTCAGTGGCCATTCGCATATTTTCTTTTGTGAAGCGTCTATTCAAGATTCTTTGACCATTTAGTACTGAAGTGATTACCTTTTAATTATTGATCTGTCAGTGTATGTTCTAGACACATTTGTCAGATATATGTACTGCCAAAACTCCCTCCCATTCTATGGAATGACTGTTTATCTTCTTAAAAAATGTCTTTTGATGAACAGGATTTTAAAAATTTGTTCTATTTCTGTTTTTGTATAACATCCATATATTTTTTCTTTAGTCATTAGTGCTTTTTTTAATGTTTGAATAACTCTTTGCTTCCTCAAAGGTCATGACAATATCATATTTCTTTCTAAAAACTTTATAATTCCAACTTCTACTTTTATATTTATGCTCCATCTCAAGTGAGTTTTTGTAAATAGTACCTAAATGCTTAAGGCTAACTTTGGTCCAGCATCCTTTGTTTTTCATCAGTATTTGCTGAAAAGACTATTTCTCTTTGTTGAATTGCTTTAGTGCCTTATAGATATCAATTGACTACATGTCCCTGGCCATTTTGGGACTCAGTTTAATGTTCTGTTCATCTATTTGTCTTTCTTCCACAGATATTGTCACCAACAAAGCCCACTGGGGTCCCCGGAAAAAATAAGATGGATTCTAGGTGATGAGATAACATCTAACCTCACACCCCACATTATTAAATATGGTGCTGCCCCTAGTGCTGAGCTCCCTGCCTACTGTGCCCAGTTTCTGTGAGTGCTCCGTCCCAGATCTCTGCCTCCAGCCCTAGCCAACACCTTGCACATGCCCGGGGCTCCTGGCTGGCTCCCCGAGGGTTTCCCTCATCTGCCCACCGCTCTCCAGGTACCCAGAGATGCTCGGAGAAAGCCAAGCATCTGATCCACAAGGACATGCAGTCACTCTCTTGTCAATAAGGCAGCCAGTGAAGCAATATCTCAGTGGAGTCCTGCAGGGCAAGTGAGACTCAATCATGTGACAGTTTCAAGGAGAGTAAAGAACACGGAAAGGAGGTACGTGATGGCGTATTCCGGAAATCGAAGGAAGTTCAGGACAACTACAT